GTAATCAAATGCTAAATAATATCACTAGCCTTAGCTGTCTCAGCATTACTGTTACTGGGCTTCCTTTGAGCACGATAACTTATGCATAGGATGCTATTACACCAGCTGAGGAGAGTGAAATGATGAGGAAGTGGAGAACAGGGAGAGAATTTTGTTATTTTGAGTAAGATGGTATCTGATGGGGGGTGGGGAGGACTGGTAGTGAAGGAAAAACAAAATCTTCAGGTAGGGAGAAGGAAAGAAACCTTATTTTGTGTGTCTTTGTGTAACAGCACTACCAAACCCAACCCTTCTGCAAGCGCTGGTTAGGGATAGTGTGACCTGGAAAAGGGGCTGCGTCCTCCTCCAGCAGCCAGTGCATGAAAATAGAGAAAGAAAAAGGCCATTCAGTAAAAGACTGAAAATGTCAAGGAAATACAGATGTCTCATAACGTATGGGGACTTGAGAGTTAACCTAAAAGACAGAATGTTCTGCTGGAGCCTGTGTGCAAGGTTAAAGCTGTACATATTTCTCTCCCCCAAAGTCTGCTTTTTCCAAGCCTCATTAACCATTTTGCTGAACATTACAATCATTACTCTTCTGCCAGGTTTTACCACATTTTTCAACCTTTTAGGTACAGACCTTAGAATTATTGATCCAATGAATCATACTGACTGAGGTGCTGGCTGCTGCTGAAACACTTGGGCAGGAACCAGGATGTTGGCTCAACACCAGGCAAATCTGGCTGAATGTTCCTTGCATGGGGAGTGTTTTTCCACATGCAAGAAGCAGCAGCGCTGAGGTTATCACCTCCTTGCAATTTCTGTGGAAGCGTACATGTATGAGCTTAAAGGCATCTAATGACAATGATGGCCAGTTAAAAATAAATAAATAAGTAAAAATAAAAAGGCAGGGACCTTTCTTCTTCACTACTGAAAATTCCTCATTACTGCAAATAATGAGGTCTGTGTACCATGGAGGCATTCTGTACGCAGCACCTGAGGCTAGTAATATTTTGTCATTTTATTAGCTGACTGGGTTCCTTTGGCTGGCGCTGGGAGGAGCAGTGAAGAGGTTTGACAGAGCTCATGGGGTGCAAAACTCCAGGGAGGGAGGGCTTAAATGACTCCTAATAATTTGTCTATGCATCCGTCCATCCATATATATCCATATATCATACATCTATTCTCATATACGTGTCTACAGTGCTACTGTAGATATGCTGGAAGCAGATAGATATTGGTCATGCCTCTTTTCATATGTTTTTGGGACGCCAAAAACTAAGCTATTTGTGTGAACAACTGATTTTGACTGAGCTACAGAAAAATCCTGTCTGAGCTGCCAGAGGGCATGGCATCAGGGGCTTTGGATTTTCGTCTTGTAGTCAGGATTACGGTATTTAAAGAATGGGCCTAGTGTTTATCCACCACACAAATGATTAGTGCAATTTGAAATCTAGAATAAATATGCAGCCAGATGTGGTGCTGCCTCTGCCTCTGTTGCTGGTTATTGAGCCTGGCCATTAAAAATGGAAATAAGGCCTTTTAGAAAAGACACAGTGAAATCACTGACACAATGAGCAGCAGTTGGAGTTATCCTGTTCCTGACACATGTACCCTAATTGCGGAGGTGGTCATAAACTTTGGTCTGCTTCTCAAGAGATATGACAATACAATAACTATAAACCAAGTAATTACAGCCAAGATATTAAAGATTCCCAAACATCTGCTAAGTCTGGGATGAGACATAAGAATGAACTGTCTGATCTTGACAAACAGCTCTGATGTGCTCATCTCAAGCTGGATCTGGATGGATTTGGGGAAGAAACGCGGGAGTCGATGTGTAGGCATTTGTCCAGGGGAAGGCCTGAAAATAGAGAGCCTATTTATTAAGCAGAGTGTAAAGAGAAAGCCCGAAGGATCCCCACTGCAGAGCAAGGTGTTACTTTTATTTTCACTGTGCCAGTGCCTGCAGGAGCAGCAGAGATTGCAGCCTCACAGCACCGGTGCTGGGGGGGCAGCAGCTGAGCCCCCCCTGCTCGGGGAGCCCACGCTCCAGCAGAGCGGGCAGGGACGGCACAGATGCTGCCTGCGTTGCTCATATTTCAGGTTGCTGCAGGGAATTTGGAGCAGTTAGGAACGAGATGTTCTGAGTCTCAGACCAGCACTTGAACATCAGGTTTCTTTGTCCTCTATCTCAAGCACTTCACATTCGGGTTTTCGCTCTACCCCGGCTGCTTCAAGCTGCCAGCGCAATCCTGCTGCCTTCCCCAGGCGCCTCGATGAGCAGGATGAGAAGCCTATCCCTGCACAGCCTAAATGGGGTGCATTGCTTTTATTACTTACTGTATGAACTATAGTGATCCTGAATAACAGCAAATAAACTAATTACATCGTAAGCACTTTTTCTTTTGTGTTTACAGAACGGGATGCATAATGCATGAGTTTAACAGCTCCCCGCGCTAAACTGGGATTACAAAACTGCGTATGGGTATCCAGTTTGCCACAAAACTGTACATTAGCAATGAACACAAGACAACGTACTTTGGCAGATCTGACTTGCTCTCCGTCAGTTTCAAAAGGAACAAGCTGTAAGGTTTATTTTGTAGAAAAATATTTTGATAGCATATTTAACGGATTTTGCCAATTCACGTCTCTGTTTTCTTTTTAAGAATAAAGAGATTGAAACAGTTAATAGCTTTGAATGAAATTAACTTTTCTTCAGTAAACCAACCAACCAAACAAAGCAGCTATGATGATTCTCTTGCAGCTTTCCAAAACAATTAGGCAGTAATGACTGCTGAAGAGATTTTCATGTCGTTTCAAACACTGGTTGGAACAATTGGAAGCCACAAATTTTTCTCTTTGTGACTTTATTATCTAAAAGGAAATGACTAATTTGGAGTTTGTTATTATTGTTTTATAGTCCATGAAATATAAATATATAAGTAAACACTTCCATGGATTTAAATATATAAAATACATAATGTGGAATAGTTAAAAATTAAATAGTTTTCTTCAGCTGAGGCTGAGCTGGGCTAAATCATAACTAGGATTTAATGTGATGGTTTTCAGTTCTGTATTACAGCCTCTCGTGGATTGTAGCTGCCAGTGAGTTTCACACCAGGAATCATCCTGTTGATGGCACTGGGACCTCAGTCAGTCCTGGTGCTGCTGGGCGGGATGCTCTGCAGGTAACATGCTCGTGCTTCTCAGCCATCACCGGTAGCTACATTCCTCTCTGAGAGGCACACATATAAAAGAAAAAAAAAATAAAAGGCCCATAATTCATTTAAAGATGACCCACGTTGAAGAATGTTCTGTATTGCCATGCAGTAGGACCGCTTATCCTGATATTTAACTTATTTTCTAACTCAATTTGAGTGTATGAATGAATCATGACATAGAAATAACATTTGAAAGGAATGGGTTCCTCGACATTGAACAATTGTTGATCAACGTTAATAGGGGAGCAGTGAGGTCAGGACTTGTCCTGTAGCCTTTTTCATCCCAGAAATACTAATTAAATCTTGCTCCTTTGCAGTCAGCCCAGGGCCCATCTTGCTGCAGCCGGCTCGTTGCTCAGGAGCTGTAATCCCTTCCTTTGACTCTCCCCCAGCTGGACTGCCCCAGGTAACTGCACGCAAGGACACACCAGATGCTCTTTCTGGCATGTCCCCTTACTCTTACCTTTCCTGCACGGTTTAACAGTCCCTCAGCTCTACCCAACAGGAATTGTTCCAGGCTATTTTGGTCCTCATCCAGACCATATGTATTTCCTTCCCTTTCAAGTGTGATAGATGTGTGCTGGAGGTGGATGTCCCTGACGGGCGCATCTTGTCCCCTCCTCTCCAGAAGTGCCTGAAAACCCTCTTCTCCATGCCACGCTGTTGCTCTGTTGGCGACGGCAATTTCTGCCACCTCTGCGCCTGCCTCTCCGAGTCCCTTTGTGTGTTACACTGCCCCTGAGCAAAGGAAAGAAGTCCCAATCATTTCTGCGAGCTGTTACATTAACCTCCCGTGTCCCTTCGGAGCTCTGGCTGTGCTCTGATGGCCGCGGTGCTCTGCCCTCTGGCACTGCCCAGGTGGAGACAAGCTGCGGCTGCTGCTTCTCTCATTTCTTGTCCCGCTCTCCCAGCCTCTGCTGCTGTTTTCCCTCCTGGAGCAGCCTGTCTGTCACACAGGTTATTAGCTTGCCAGCTCTTTCCTCTGCTGTGTTTCCTACAATGCCAAGAAAAATGGGATCCTGAGTCCTAATTTCTAGGCGCTACTACAAACAATAAGGATTATGATCATTGCTACCAGTGTTTCTGATTTATTCCATTATCGTATCTCTTTATAGCATGAGCTTCATTGTATAGTAATGATGGAGATAAATTTTGGCCCCTTATTTTTCATAACCACTCGCTAGCTATATATCATCAATTTTCCTCTCATTTAGATATGTGTTTCTACTTCAGGAAAAGAAAAAAATATCCCAGTTGTCTAGGTAATAAAGCCAGTAAAACAAATTCTGAAGTGTATTTTACAATGGAATTTGATTGTGTTAATTTTTCATGTGTTAAAAAAGAGGATGCTTGCTCTCTCTGGGAAATGTTTGTTTTTATGGTTTGTTTTTTTCTGACATCCATAACTGGTAGTCACGTGGAAGATCCTTTTTTTTTTTTCATGAGGAGATAGAAACATCCCAACATTTACCTGCCAAGTTCATTGGAAAACTATATACTAAAATTTAGCGAGGCTTAGTGTTGTACAGTTAAAGCTTGAAACAAAAACTTCAGGCAGTGTGGACCTGCATTTTGAATGTACACCTCCCTGTATGTCTGGTGAGATTATGGGGGGGAGGAGGGATTAAAAAAGCCCTTATGAACCTGCACTGCAGAGCCCAGCGCTGTACCAATGCTCCTGCGGTGTCTGTGTGGTTTAATTTTGGGTCATTAATGTCTGTTTTCATGGGTGGCCAAAGCATGGTGTGTGGATTGACTCCACCTCTCACTCACTTTTTGCAGGATGACTCACTGTCCTCACTGCCGAAGGAAATAAATATTTTGTTATGCTGTTTCGGTTTCAAACACCACAGATGGAAGTCTTGGCCCTCACCAGTCATCGCGTTGCAGAAATCCCCGTGTACCTTTGAGAAGTCGGGGTGGGGATGAGCGAAGTGGTCCTCTGGAAAATCCCTGCAGAACATCGTGCTGCAGGCAACTCAGGTGATTCCCTCTTCCCACCTCCCCTTGCCTCTCCTTTTCCAGCCAGGATACATGATTTTACCAACCAAATGTTCCTAATTCTATTTATTTTGTATTTTTAACAAGGAAATTGAGGAAATATTCAGATAAGTTGGAAGTGGTCCTGCTGCACAAGAATGAGAAATTGCCCAGCCCACGTGGTTCTGTGACATTGTTCTTCAGCTGCAGTTCTTGGGAGATCGCCGCAATTGTTAACATCCAAACAAAAACAGTCTAATGAAAGTGTTTTAATCTGCTGATCAGCTATTCAGAGAGGAAGGGATAGCCGTGCTAGGTGTCTTTGGAGTGTGGAAATTAATGCGGCAGTGGTAAGCAGAATATCTGTAGTTATTTACAATTCTTAGCAAGCTATTGTGTGCGTAATTTAGTTGGAGGTTGATTTAGCTTCAGATTTCATTTCCTGCACCTTGAGCAGCTGGAGGAGCTCCAGGCCTCATCCCTCCGTTGGTCTGGGTGCATCTGAGCCGGGAGCTCAGCATCCTAAATTCCCAGGGCAGTTCAGGCTGGGCAGATCTACTGGAAAGCCATTCAGAGAAGATATTATAGGCCCCTGTTCTGAAATCCTTCCTCATAGTGTAAATTTCTGGTTTAACATGATTTTAAAAAGAGCTTTGTGATGGAAATCCAGCCCTCACAACTTGCAGTCTGAAGTCAAGAAGACTTTTTTGGTAAGATCCTTAATAGGGTAACCCTGAGTGTTTTTTTTTTTTTGATAGATCAGGCATCAACAAGGATGAGAACTCCTCTGTGAACTGTGAAGCTGATGGGACATCTGCTGTTCCTCCTTGGCACCACGGGGATTTGATCGGATAACATAAGGCTTGTTGCTGGTGAGCAGCGGTAGCAGATTGTCATCAACAAGCATTTATTAGAGTTTGAAGATTGAAGGAGATTTGTCTCAGGTGTCACAGGTAACAAGACCTCACCAACACCCTATCATGCCCTGTCATTATTGTTTCACACAAAATCATCATACACCAGAGCCTAAAACCCTCCCAGTCCTCACTGCTACCCGCATGGGTTGCAGGTGGCACCAGGGGCCAGCCCCTGAGGGGAGCGGTGCTGCTTGCTGAAACAAACCCCCAGGAACAAAGGGAAGGCACGGGGGAAGACAGTGTCTTCATGTCACGCAAGCTGCTTAGGTGGGATACTTGTGTCCTATGTGCGATGTAGTTATTTCCTTTTCACGTCAGAAGTAACGTTGCCTCTCATTTGCAGTGAACACAGGAAGAAGGACGAGAAGGGGATGTGGTTGGCTACAGATCTTTAAAGAGAGGATGTGATCCAGCCTTGAGACTGTTTTCAGCTGTAACAAATGGTAATTAACAGTTTATTGATTAAGATAAATTAGCCTAGCCAATATGCTCATAATAAAACTAAGGGAAAAGGGTTCACAGAAAAAGACCAAGTTCATTATATTAGTTGTATTTAAGTTCCACAACATATTTAGAAAGACAAAATGTGTTTCACTGTGTGTTTTTTTTCTGCCTAAATATTTTTACCAAAGAATATACAAACTCTCCCAAATCCCTACATGGCTGTGAATAAATTGGTGATGGAAAGAGTCTCTGGGTAAAGTTGCAGCTCACTCCAGCACATGTGGAGGGTTAGAACAGGCCAAAGCTGTTGAAAACTACAGCATTGAGTAAAAATTTTCTCTGAAAAGAACAGACCAACTAACAGGTCTATTACTGATACACTACGGCTGTGAAATAGTGCTATATCAATTTCGAGTAAATTCACATTATTGTGTGTCAGAGTTTGTAGGTGATGCTGGAGGAACCAAAAATAATTAGTCTTTTGCTGCTGTGGTTTCATACACATGTCAAAGTACAGCACATTGTACAGAACTTTTAATTAAGAAAGCAAACTTTTGCTAAGCACTTCTTATTTGTCTCATTTCTTTGTCATGTTATTCCTTTTTGTATTGCCAAAAAATGCTGGACTGTTGCATCAAATGGCCAGACAATATCGCTTTACCCAGAGGCACATGCCACATGAAGGAAGATATTTTTCTTTTACTGAAATGAATCTTTAAGAAATATATTCTGAGACCAGTGAAAAGAAAGGACACAAAATGCAAGAAATTGTCCATACTGAGAATGTAGATTTTATTCATGCTTCGTCTATATAATACCTGAAGTCCTTGTACTGCTGCTGTTGTTTGTAGTAAATTATGTATCACCTCTTTTCTGACTCTTTTTACTATTATCTCCTCAGTTATCTGTTCTTTCTCCCCTACTCATCATCTTCCTTCCTCTTCATAAAATGTTATAAAAGAGAAAATTACTAAGTTTGAGGAACAGATGAGAGGAAAATTATGTGCTTCCTATCTGTATGATCAGGCATTGCTTGTGATTGTATCTATTGTGGATGAGGCAAATAACTGCGGGGCCTGAGTAATAGCTTCAACTGGGTGAATTATATTTGAGGAATGGAAGTATCATAGAACACTGAATATCCTGAGTTGGAAGGGACCCACAAGGATCATTGAGTCCAACTCCTGGCTCCACACAGGACTACATAAAAATAAAATGGTGTGTCTGAGAATGAATACTGACTATGTCAGTTGTTCTGAAATTATTCATGTATTGTGGTCATTTAATGCTCTTGAATATTCTGGATAAGAAAGAAAAATTCCAGAAGATCCCATTAAATTTTAGGGAGCTGTTTGTTTCTTGGCTCTTGGAGTAAATGAAGTTAACTAGAATATTCCTGTGGAATATCAAGAAGCCAGGTTTGGCTCATTTTCTTTAGACCAGGAAACCAAATTGTTCCTGTTTCACCAGTCAGTGTCTGAAACATCTGGCTGTTGGTTACTGTGGCGAGGTGAGGGCTGGCTGGGGTCTCTCCTGGTGGTTTCCATCCTCCTCTCACAACCAAATTCCACTCGTGCAAGAGCTGGTGCCCAAACAGATGTTGCAGTGGTACAACTGGTCAAACATACCGATAGTAAATACACGTTTTGTCTTCTGTGGTCAAGAAGTTGCACACATTCCACTAAAAGGGCAAAAAATAGCAGAGTTTACACGTACCTTGTTATCAACCAGGAAATTGAGAAGAAATGTCCAGAAGTAAAATGCTTTTGTAGCCATTTGTGGATGTTGTACTGATTAACTCCTAAAGCCTGAGAGCATCTGACCCTCTGATTTAGTTTTCATGATTCTTTGCAAGACCACAAGGTGAGGTGGGTCTCAGTCTCTGGGCATGTGCACATATGTTTTATGTCTAAGATGTGAACAGAAATGCGTAACTCTTTTCTTTTTAGAGAAACAATAAATGTTGTACAAAAGTTCTAATCTGAATCAAGTTTTTAGTGAAGTAATTAAGGAGGCAGCCTCATGGAGTCAGGGAATTCGTATTTGGAGCTTGGTGCCTGTGGTGAGATGCTGCATAGCCATCAGTAAGAGAGACTATCATGCTGTTCCCTGAGTAAAGAACTTGCACAGCATTTCAAATACATTTGCTAAAATGCATATAATGATGATAGAGCTAGGGTGAGTTTCAGTCTGTGTTTTTTTTTCCCCCTGGTAAAATAAATGAGGGTTATTTTTTCTGACCGTGCTGGGTGTTAGTGTAGCGTGAAAACTCTATTTATTGAAATATAGGTTGCATAGTGAGTTCTAGGGCTTGAATTTATTCTCAAATAGCAAGAAATGCACCGTGTGGCTTCCTTATAGCATTTAATACTGTAAGGGTTAAGAATGAATGATGTGCTTTTAATGGGACATTAACATGAGATAATGTAACTACATTGATAAGTCTTAGAATATACTTTACATAGGTATTGTACTTGGCAGCAATCTCAGCTGTATCTCATTACTGAGGGGAATTGAAAACCAGACTTCTGTGTCTTCAGTGGAAATACCCACCATAGTGTGGTATAATAATATCAGTGTTTCTGTATGCATTTGCTCCCTCCAGTCTGTTCCCAAGGCAAAAGGGACTTTGGACCTTGGTATGGCTCAGCCAGAAACCATGGGAGCAGAGGATATGTCTCTGTTTTCAGTGGCATAGACTCCAAAGCCACCCAGAAACTTTTTACTGGAACACGTTCAACACCTCATGCGTTGGAAGAAGTAACAACACGTGTGTATTAACTATCAGTGCTTCCTTTTAAAACTAAAATAAATGAAATAAAAGTAATCCAGTGATGAACCTAAATAAAGTTCAGCTGCTCATGCTCCTCCTGCTGGCCCATTTCTGCACTCAGACCAAGCGCCTGTTAGTGTCATTCAAAGCCTAGATGACATAGCTCTAGGGGAGCAGCATTAATGAAAGCCTCTTTGCAGGGAGTTCACCTCCTCAGGTTTTGTTTCCACGATCCCTTTGAAAGGAGCTGGTTAGTTATCTGCAAGTCTATTTCGGTTAGACTCGCACAGCCTCGAGTTCAGTCATTAAGCCCTGCTGTTCGCTTAGAAAAAACAAATGAGCCAGACCAGCTGAGCAGAGGCAGCGTGCGTGGGGATGGCAGAACCCACTGTGCTGAAGCATCAGCCCCAGCGGGGCCAGCCCTGTCCCTGGGCAGCCGAAGGCACAGTGGGACCTGGCAGGGCTCTGGGGATGTGCAGGGGGCACGAGCTGCCCCTGGGCATCTTCCCCATGCCCCCTCTCTCAAAGTGTTCTGGGGAAGCCTGGGGGGAGCTGTTCCCCCATTGCACTGAGCCATGATCCCAGTAACACAGATGTACAATGCAAGCTTTGTCCCTCTTACTGAAACTACTTTTGATCAATTTTCCAACAGATATTTTACGAGCAGCAGGTGCTTACCTGCTTTATTTGCATTAATTGTAGGAGGTAGTAAGTACTTCCTTGGGGTTTGGTATTATACACCCGTGGTCTTAGCTTCAACTACAGACAGCAGGAATACGCACAGACCTTCAGTCTTTTCCTCTGTCCCCAGTGTTTGCACTGGCTGCTGTGCATTTCTGCTTTGTACAACATTTCTGCTTCATAGCCGCAAGACTGCACCATTCCTCTCCTCAAGTCCGTGTCTTTACCTGCTTAACTTTAGTACTTGGGGAAATGCAGACGTTATTTCCTTCCTGGGAGTATCCAAAGAACGGAGGAAAAGATGAAGAAGAGGCTATAAAAAGAAAAGAGTGAAAAAAAAAAAATATGGAAATCTCTTTTTCCTATTGAAATGAAGCATATTTCTTTGCCTAATGGGATTTATCCTTTCAGATAACATGTTTTCTGTTGTAAAGAAACAGCCGTTTTCTTGTAAGCTCCTTAAGGTACAAGTTTGTGAGAGCTGTCAAAATATATTGTGTTGCTCAAGCTTGCTGCAGTCAGGTGGCATGTGGGAGAGCCACCGGCTCCGTGCATCCACATCCATCTCTGCCTCGCGCAGCTCCTGCCCTTGTCCCTAAATCAAAGCAGGAGAGGAATCTGCATGGCGGTTAAAATAATGCCAGAAAACCTTCACAAGAGTCATGCTGCTGGTTGCAGTGCTCCGGGAAGAGAAGGAAGGTGCATCACTTGGTGGAAGGGTTAGGAGCTCAGTTTGTTCTTTGGACTGTTTTAGGCGAGGTGCAACGCTCCCAGACCTCCGGGAAATGTGCCTGGGGTGCGAGGCGGGTGCTGCCAGCAGTGCTTGCTCTGCCCATCCCTGTGGCTCTTAGTGATGCCTTGAGGTGCCCCTGAGCAGGGCTGAAACCCTCAGCAGACCAGCAGTGCCTGAGGATGCACAGCGCATGCCCCAAGCAGGCACCGTCGTTTGCTGCGGGCTCTTGTGGTACCCTGAGCAAAGGGAGAGGAGCGTGTCTCCATTAAAGCAGAGTAAATTATTTCGTGTTGCTATTAGCCACAGCACTGTTACATTATACATGACTCCTCGCTGATCAAAGCTGCAGATTCTTTCTCTTGTTAAGGATTAGCCTTTTTGTCAGATGGATGGTGTGTGATAACCTGTGCTTTTCTCACTAAATTGGCGGTCTGTCGCCCTTCCACATAAACTTTCAGTAACTGCCATGAGTACTATAAATACACATGGGAAGTAAGCTTTCATTGCTGCATCGGTCATAGGGAGAGTCAAATATGGGTTTTCGCTTTCTTTTCCTGTTGGCAGGGACATATCTAGCTGCCTGGCCACCCTTGGAAGTGCTAGCTGAGCCTATCTAATTAAGCACAGAATCAGAGTGCTTTGAGTTCGAAGGGAGCTGAAAGATCATTTAGTGTCAGCCCCCCCCAGCCATGGGCAGGGGCACCTTCACTAGAGGAAGGTGTAATTGGACCTGTTAGCTAAATGTGTGAAGTTGCACTGGCCTTGGTTTGTAGTTTGCTGTTCATGTTAATTCTCTGCACGTCCTGTTCTCTTACACGGGGCAGGCAGGGGCCAGGGGGCAAAGTCTTTTTTTGTGTAAGATTAAGTACTCTACATTTGTAAGAGCCAAATTAATGGATGACACAAAATGTATGATTTCAGAAAAGTTTAATTTCTGTACCCCACGTTGTGGCATTTTTTGTTTGAAGTAAGCACAGTTTGAGACCAGAGATCAGGGGAGGACAAGACACTGTACAGCATAACTGGTACGCCTTCGCTCTGTTCTGATGGGATTTTAAAGCACACACCCACAAAGTTTGCTGAGCTTTCACATATCTTCAGGCTCGAATTCAACAGCCTTCTGGCTCAATGAAAAAAAAAACACAACATATATAGACCTGGCTTCATTACTTGTACCTTGGAAGTGACTTGACAGCCATTTAGAAAAATACTTAACATTCCCCAGTTTCCTGGTCCCTCCCTCCCCTGAGGAGCCCTCAGGAGCAGATCCATCCGTCTGTGTCCCCGGAGGCACGCGGGGCAGCCCGCGCTGCCTGGGCGCTTTGATTCATGGAATCAATAACTCGAAGGCTCTGCCTAAAAGGATGGAAAACGCGGCGTGACCCGGTGGATGAGTAATGATGGTTGTGTGTGGCAGAACAACCGGGCTACGTTTGTGTCAACAAATAAAGCCTCCTGAGCACAGCCAAATTACCAAGATCCTTTCATTCTGTTTCTTAAATCTTTGCTTTAAAGTTGACCTTGTTTTCAGTTCTCTCTGGTAAATGTGGTCTGGTGCTACAGGAACAAATTGGGGAGTACGTTTAAGCTATGATTTATTTAGGTTTTATCTTGCCTCCTTCAAAGAGTTTATGTTAATTGCTTCATTAACTTACTCAAAAGCTTTTCTCATCTTCATTTTGACCAGCCTTCCATGAGATGTCAGTCCAGGGGTACCTTTGTGGTTGTTGTAAGGGCAAGAAAAATATGCAGCAAGAAGTTCTCGTCCTCCTTCCCGTGGCTGCTCCTGCCCCTCTGCTCCTGCTGACTGTCACGGGAGTTCAGGATCAGCCCCCTGGTCTGGCAGTGAAGAGCCCTGGTCTGCATTGAGTCCCTGACAACAAAAAGGATGCACCCTTGGTATAAAGGAAAAGGTAATATTCATCATATGGCAATTTACTGTATATTAGGAAAGAACAAATGTTGCCTTTTATTGTGACAGATTTTTGTTTTATCCACCAAATTCATCGCTGGAGCAAGCTGGCACTTGCTTCTCTTGAGTCATACAGAGGGTTTTTTTGGCACCTAATACATTAACATGTGTGTATTCTTTGTGGCTACAACTTGAACAAATGTTTTGAAATGATGACAGAGAAAATTACTTTTCTTGCCTACATTAACAAGTAGGTGTCGTGTATTTTAATTACTGTGACCAAGCTGCAATTACAGCTGATAAACATATGGAGATTAAGCTGCAAAAAGAGAGGTGCATTTACATTTTCTTAAGGAAGTGCCACAAAGATGAATAGAAAAGGGGAGGGGGTGGAGGGTGGTCAAAATAATGCCAAACCTATTTATATTAATAACTGAAATTCTTTGCATTTACTTGTGTTATTTGTATTTACTTATAGCACACACCATGACCTCAAAGATCTTCAAGTGGTTCATTTTGATCTAGAAAGCCCTACTACGTCAATATGTGCTCATTTTGTGATAAACAACCATGTCCTCAGAGCAGCACAAGCACCGCGGTGTTGTGGAGTACAGGCACAGCTCTGTGTATAAAATAAGCCTGCAAAAATGGGAACCACAGCTTGACTTAAATGTGCATTTGTGGCCCTGTCATCTGCAGCAGCCTCATATCAATGCACAGTAAGGCCAGAACAGCAGATTAGCTATCTGGTGACAAGCATGATACTATAATTGAAATGAAACATGAGGAAACATGAGTTGTTGTTTTTTTTTTTGTTTTTTTTTTTTTTTTCTTTTTAAAACCAGTGCCCATTCTGAGATCTCTGGGAGTTCCCAGAAGACCTTAGGAGGTTGATCAGGACTCTGTGATGCCATTGTTTTTCCCAAGATATATAAGTGTCATCTTATTATTTGCAGGCTCCTCAGAAGGTTTTCCTGACGTGATGGAACAATTGCCATGCTTCGTTGCTGCAAAGTGCCCTGCCTTCATGTACTGACCTCAAGCAAGAGCGAGACATGGTGACGTATCTCCTCACACTACGGTTCCCAGAAATAGTAGTTGGTGTTAAAACATTCCTAAAATACCACTTTTTTTTCGGAAGAATAGACTGACCAAAGGAAAGTCCCTTGCAGCCAAGCATTAAGTATTTTCCTAGTGGCTCTTGAAATGCTTACATATTGAGGAAATTTCACTGTCCTTTGAAACCTGCCAAGAATTGTGCTCCTGCACCTTTATTGCATCATTGCAAGGGTTTGTTTTAGTGTGGAGACACAGATGACGAGCAGCGTGCTGCAACTGAGAAAAGAGGGCTTCTGTGACAAACCGAGGAGACAGGTTGGATACACATCACTCCCGTAAATGATAGGCTAACATATTGATCCAGGGGGAGACGGAATCTGCCATATGCTTGGTGCTAAAGTTTCTTGCCTGAAAGAACAGAGCTGGCCCCAGCCCAAAACTCTGTGATTAAGCTTGCCGAGAATCTCCTCAGAGATGAAGGCTCCTTTGGCAGCTCCTGTCAGGTCGAAGCGGGAGAGGACAGACGTAGTAGTGGGCACCAGTTGCCATCATCTCCAGCAATCTCAGTGGTTTTACGGCGTGTGATAAAAGCAGAGGACCTAAGCACCTGAAATAAAATCTGTGATCCCTCTGAGGTATTTCTCGTGCTGTGGTGAATATCTCCTGGTGGAGGTTTGTCCTAGTTTTCTGTGATAATGTAACGTTACTATAGGAGAATGTCAAAGCCGTGTCTGTTCAGAGATTCTCTTAGTTCTTACTGTATTCAAATCTATACCTTTTGTCATGGTGTATTCCACTTTACAGTTCTAACATAAAGACAGCAATATTAGTTTGAGCTCTCATATGGACTTCTGGTGATTTTAAAGACTTAAACTGTGCAGTCTATAGAATAATGGTTGCCATTCATGGCAAGCATCGAAAGGCTTTCAAAATTTTTTCCTGGAATGATCAGATGGAGATTTTTCCCACTTAATACAATTCACCTTCTTGAAAGCACTTGAATTAGCTTTGCATCATTCTCTGTTACTTCTCCACAAGCTGGATTTAGTGACCTGGTAGCTGGTCACAACCCAACTGGCTGCCCTGGGCTGTCCATGCCAGCCTGCTCCAGCCTGTGGGCCTCAACAGCTTGAAATAAGTATTGCTAATATCTAGGTTATTCATGGATACTGGCTTCCATGGAAGATTCTTGTAAGCACTATTTTAACTTGTTATTTGAAGTTATTATGCCTGAATTTTACCCCCTTCAAAATATGTGAAAAAAAGATCATTTTCTCTGTTGGCCATCTAAATAAACCTGTGTGTCAGGAGACACGTGTGCTTTGAAGCCTGAAGCTGGCTAGGACCTGGCTTCCATCTGTACCCCTGGGGCTTCCTCTGGTCTGGGGGAAATGGCTGCAGCTGAGAGTGGTGTTGATATTCCTTCTCTTCTGCATTCTGTGCCCACACTTCAAACAGACAAAACTAAGATACTATTGAGTTTGGAATTTCTCTAACCTCTAACTTGCTGTTTTTATGAATGACATTTTATATGGCAATAAAATCAATGGTATACCAATCCTTTTCTTAGTCAGACTCAGCATCAAGGGAAAATTTCACTGCAGATACCAAAGATTTTCTTTCTCAGGAATAAACAGAGAGCCCTCCTCCAGCCATGCCTTTTGGCTGTTAGCACGAATAAAGGTTAATTGCCGCATTTTTATGTTTCTCTTTGTAATTAAGAGTTGAGCCTTCATTGCTTTTCAATGCAGTTACTGGCAATTGAAGTTAATCTTTTTAATCATTGCAGGAAAATGCACATCCTGTAGTGCAAATCCCACTTGAAATGCAAGGGGCTACAGTATTTGGAAACATGCCTATACCTAGGAGAAGCTGGAATAGCGTATTTGGAGAATATGGTAGGGAAAGTTATTTTAAGAATAACAGCTTGACTTTTGGTTCATCTGAGAAGTGGCTGAAAGTTATGAGAATGGAAGGCAATTCCCAAGCTGAGGCAGCTCTGGACCAAGTTGTGGTTGTATTGCATAGCGATTACATTGCTACTAAGGCCCGTTCTGTTTGCTGCTGCTTTTCTCTGATTCATGTGTTAGTTTGTTAGTTGCATCAGGTTTTCCTGTTGTAACTTTCCTTAGGCCTTTCCTCATTCATGCACCAACACCGAAAACTCATTTAGGGCTGCATTAATGAAAGAAATTGAAGAAATTGGGCTTTTTTTTTTTTTTTTTTTTTTTTTTTTTTTTTTTTTTCTCCAAGCTACTGCATCTAGCTTCTGCTTGTAGAAGAGCAGGTGGCAGCGGGTCAGGGAAAACCAGCGTGCCTTGTCCAGCAGCAGAGGTCAGGACTGCAAGAAGCAGCCACTCGAGCTGCAGCAGCCGTGAGCAGGAGGCATCCCATGTTTGGCAGCTCCGTATCGCACAGACAGTTGAACAAATACGTGTAATTGCATCGTTTGTGTATAATGCGCGTGTTGCCTGACATGACTGTCATGAAAAAATACATTGCTGTGTTAATAAATAACTGCTACGTTAATTCATGTGGAAGGACTTGTAGTATACAATTGCAGGACAGAAATGAAAAAGAAGGTCCTTAGAGAGTTTTGCAACAATTTCTATTTCATCTGATTAGAAGAAAAGGCTGTTTTTTCATCTTTTCTCTATTTTTTTTTATTTTTTTTTGTATTTAAATAAATCTTCTGAAATGTTTGCGTGCCTGTAAGAATTCTGAAAAGCTGTTCAGACCTAAATCAAGTGGTGCTGCATGAATCTTCCCAGGCAATAAACTTTTGGTACCTTTGACAAGTTTTATGGTTTGAGATAGGTGCACTGTGTTATGTATCATATTTCACAGTAACACAGCTGAATAGATCATATCAATTTTTATATGCTAATAATTTGTTTGGGTATTTTAATACTAGGAGCTGTAATTCATATCTATTACGTCTCTTAGACTACAGATAATCTGAATAATATTTACAGAAAAGTCACTTTAGGAATACCTCCTTCATTACATTTTTCCATTGTGCAAAGAATGCACGAATTAACAAGTCTAGACATTTGAAAAACTGTATTGAAGCTCATCAGCTGGCAGGTCAGGCTTGTTCCCTGTGATTTTGCCGTTCCCTTGGACATAGGACGTTTCAGTTTGCTGTGAGTTTGGGCTGTTTCTCATTTTCTTTGGTAATTTGTGGGTAAGCAAATAAATCTTGCTATTTGCGCACTCTTTTTGCCTAGAAGAATAATGTAAATGTTTCCTCTCTTAAGTTTGCCTCAAATTCCCAGAGATGTCCCTAGTGCATTAAAAAGTTTTTACCTATTCTAATCTATGACTTGCTATGGGAGCAGTTGAAACTCAATTGTGCTGTTGCAAACTGGATAACGAATGCCGTGATATCGGCAGTGGGAGTGGTAGAAAGGCACTAGCAATAGTGTGCAGTTACACAGCCAACTGAAAGCTATCTGGAGGGCAGCATTACTGAAAACTGGTATTGTTAATGATAAAATGAAAACAAACTTGACAAAAAAAAAAAAAAAAAATGAAAATGCCTAAACAGAGGGTGGATAAATGAGACTAAAAGCCTGATTTTGTTTTTCTGACAAAATAACCTTCAGTGCTAAAACAGAAAGTCTCATTGTTTGATAAACAGTTTATCAGCTACCTGATCTTGAGCAACGCTGAAATCCCACCGCAATATTTACATTCAACCTGACAAATTGAGAGGGCAGTACTCCTGCCCTCTCTGCACACACAAACCTCTCTTTATTACTGGTTATTTCTCCCTCTGTTTATTATAATTAACTCTGAGTTACAAATCTGTTTTGACAGAATGCTCCAGATACCACATCTGAAAGAAATGGTTGCCAAAGCACTCGAGAGGAAATCTCCAGACTTATCCGTAAGACTTCCCTCTTTGCCTTGGAAAATTACCAAGCTGGATAACTTCTCAAAAGTCAGATTTTCAGAACCCCACAAAGCACGTGGAGTGCTTCCCTGTCACCTCCCTTTCATGTATGTTTTCAAAGTGAGCTGCACTGTTAATGACTTTTTGTAAATCCCGAGTTATGGCTTGGAGAAAGGCGTGCTGCTAGGTGGTGATATGATTTCACTGGGTTTCTTCGTCGCCACCAGGAACCTCACGCAGCCCGTGGGCACGCCAGAGCTCAGCAGTGAAATGTTCAGAAGAGCCCATTTAAACCTTGGCACCGCATCGCTGCGTTTGGGGGATTTGTAACCTTTGCCAGCTTATCATAAACACCATGCCTCGGTGGCGCTTGCTGTGGCTGTAACACAGATCGGCACCTTCTGACTTCTGCTGTCTCTGCTGACTTCATTTCAGAGATTTCAGCGGAGCACGGGCACGGTGAAATCACCATTCAGCAGAGCAGGGAGAAGCAACCTCAAACCAGCCCTTCCTCCTGAGATGTGACCTCCCAAGCCATGTAGCAACGAGTTCGGTGCTGACCTTCACACAAAGTTTGGTGCCCCCGTGCCACTCAGTTGCATGTCATTTCTGTTGGTTTTGTGAAGACTAAACAGATGTCTCCCACGGTGAGCTTTTCATATAATTTAATCCATTCATTTTCATATAATTTAATCCATTCAGGACAGGTTGATGTTGCAAAAGGCAGCATTTGGTGGAACCTCGTGGGTCTAGCAGTGCCCCTCGCAGTGTGCTCACCCACTGACCTTTCAATGGATGACTTGCTGAAGACAAAGTAATGCTTTCTGTGTGGCTAGGAATTTTTTGTTTGGTTTTTAATACCCATTAGCTAAAAGCAAAATGGCCTTCACTTAAAAGTCAAAAGGGAGACTGCAATTGATTTAATACTTACATTAATTTATATTCAGATGCCTTACTCTGTTTACAATTGTCTGCTCATAGAAACTGTGTAAAAGGAAGCAACTTTTCCCAAATATCATGTTTCTTTTTGAATAACGTGTTCACAGAGCTCTTCGCAGTAGAGAATTTGCAATAGATACAGTCTTTCTTGCAGTACGGTGCTGGCATTGAGCAGCTAACACACGCTTCTTTAGTGT